CCGAGGAAGCAGGTAGCATGGATTGATTGCACACGGCGCTCAATGCCGCTCACCTTGGCCGCGGGTGGCTTTGTGTCTTTGCTCTCTGGCGATGGCGCAAGCTCATGCTGATTGCCCTTGGCACTCTCCAATCCAGGCACGCCTCACAACTCTAACCCCACCTCCGTCATCAAGACGCCAAAGAAAGCGTCTACAAAGACCTCACGATCCGACGAATTCCACTCCTCCGCGGGTGCCGCCACCCCGTCTTCTACCAAGGATGCCGCCGACCAGGAAAGCAGGCCGAAGGGCGCCCAGAACGGCCAGGTCGAGGCCCAGTCCAGACCATCACTCCCCGTTACCCCAGCACGCAGTAGCACCACCATAGACCCCTTGTCACAGGTATGATTTCGCCGTCCCAAGGGGCTTGACTTGATCACTCGGCTCTGCCTGTTCTCTCTCGATAGGCCCTCAGCCCGGCTGCCTTCTGGCTACAGGGGCACCACGGCGACCTTTCCAGCCTAAGCATACCGAGATTTGTGTGTGCTGGTGGCTTGCAAGCTGAACCGTGCTGACGCCAGGCTCTCGTTGCGCCGCAACACCTTTCCCGCTGCAGCATATTGTCCTTCGAACCAACACAGATCGCTCCATCTCTTCGAGACTACGGAGCCAAACCGTGCGACCCGATAATCCGTCTGCGTCCGGGGGCCTTGGATCGAGTGGCGACGGCCAGCTTAGGCCCCCAAATTCCGATGCGCCAGAGAAGAAGAAGTACGTGATCGATCGCGCCTTCCCGGCCGCGTCGTGCGGGATCGAGGCTCCCATCCAGAAGGCGGGAATGAAGTCACGTTGTCGTGGTTGGCCCAGTGTGATAATTGAGCATTTGGGTTAACTTGAGGCCTTGCACAGGAACCGTGTCTCCTTTCTCAGCCGGCTCAGCATGCGTGGAAGCAAGAAGAAGGGCGACTGCGACGACGACAATGGCTCGGAGCGTAGCGACCATCGGCCCGACGGCAACGACGCCCGAGTCTTCTCGACCGTCGGTGCTGGCGGCTTTATACCACATCACAAGGAGCCGCCTCGCTACATTCGCACTAAGGCCCACAACAAGAAAAACCGAGAGTTCAACCGAATGTTTCTGGCACAGGAGCTGATTGGCACGAAACCACCCAAGGACAGCGGTGGGCCAAACTCGACCACAGTGGACGCAAGCAAGACACCCCTCGTCACCGTCTCGTCGGCCGACGGCGTGGGCAGGACGGTGGCGAAGACGGGCGGGGCCATCTGGGCGACCGAGTTCAGCCGCGATGGCAGATTCCTGGCAGCAGCAGGCCGGGACATGGTGGTGCGGGTATGGGCGGTGATCTCGACCCACGAGGAGCGGCGCGCGCACGAGGAAGACGAGGAGGCGACTCACGGCGCCGCTGGTGGAGAGCGGCTTAGTGCGCCCGTATTCCGGGAGCAGCCTGTGCGCGAGTTCGAGGGCCACACGGGCGAGATCCTGGACCTCAGCTGGAGCAAGAACAACTTTCTGCTGTCGACGTCGATGGACCGGACCGTGCGGCTGTGGCACGTCAGTCGCCGTGAGTGCCTGTGCAGCTTCCGCCACAGCGAGTTCGTCAGCAAGGTTGCCTTCCACCCGCGCGACGACCGCTTCTTCCTCGCCGGCTGCCTTGATGCCACCTTGAGGTTATGGAGCATCCCCGACAAGGCGGTCGCGTACTCGGTTCAGACGGCGGATCTCATCACCGCCGTGGCCTTCTCGCCTGACGGCACCGTGGCCATCGCCGGAATGCTCAGCGGCATCTGCAACTTCTACGAGACCGAAGGCCTGAAGTTGCAGTCGCAGCTACACGTGCGCTCATCGCGCGGCAAGAACGCCAAGGGCAGCAAGATCACGGGCATCCAGACGGCGGAGCTCGCGGGAAGCAACGCAGGCGACAAGGTCAAAGTGCTGATAACGTCAACAGATGCGCGTGTGCGTATCTACAACCTGCGCGACAAGACGCTAGACGTCAAGTTCAAGGGACACCAACATGCTGTCGGACAGCTCTGCGCGAGCTTCAGCGACGACGGCAGCTATGTTATATGCCCCAGCGAGGATCGCAAGACGTTCATCTGGAGCCTGGGCCGGCCGCCTCCCGGTGCCGCTGGGGCCGAAGACGGGGCGGATGGTGGTCACGACTGTCCACAGGCCGGCGGGGGTGGTGGGGTGGACAATCTCAAGGGTGATAAAGGGCCATGCGAGTTCTTCTCGGCGCATGCCGCCGTCGTCACAACAGCCATCTTCACGCCCACCCGGACGAGGCAGCTACTGGGGAATGGCGGCGATCCGGTCTATGATTTGTGCAACCCGCCCCCGGTGACGTTGGTGTCGATGGTCGAGGCTGAGGAGGCTGCCGCTGCCGCCACCGCTCCCCGCTCTCCGCTCCCATCTATCACCTCTCACGAAGCCGCTATGCATAATCGCAGCCAAACGGCTTTGTCCGATGCGGGGCAGACGACGGGCAGCATGAGCAGGACGAGCAAAGCAGAACAGTCACCTGCGTACCTCGCGCGGTCGACACATTACGACGGCAACATCATCGTCACGTCGGACGACACCGGTATCATCAAGGTGTTCCGACAGGACTGCGCCTATAGGCGCCGCGCCGACGGCTTCGATACAGTCTCGGTCCTGAGCAGGCGGACCAACAGCCTGGTTGGCCGCAGCGCGAGCATACTGACGCGGACTAGCGCGTCCAGCGGCGGGCCACTCTCGCGGCACGGTTCTCTGTCCACTTCGATGCCGCCGGGAAGCGGCTTTGCTGCCAGCTCGGACCATATTCTTTCATGGCGACGTGGCGTCGAGACAAACGACAATAGGGCGGGTAGCGCAGGCAGCCTGCCCGGGTCGCCGCCGCTTGGCGAGAGGGCCGCGAGAAGCGAACGTAGCATCAGCCCGTCCAAGAGCAATAGCAGGAGCCCCAACGCCAACCTCGCGAGCGAGCGGAGGCGGCAGCTTTACATCAACAGCTCACCTCTCGCGCCCAAGAACGGAAAGAAGGATGGCCTCCTGGAGCCCAGCACGTTCAGCGGCGCTCGCGTCTCTGGCCGGACACCGGCGGCTTTGCTGGGGGATAAGCATCACGATCGTCTTGATCAGAATCCAGACGAAGCGGATGAGGATCGAAGTCCATCCGAACCGCCAACCCCTGCTTTCTCATTTGTTATCGGGGACGATGGCAATAACACCGATCGCGCCGCCCCTATGGCGAAACATGAATACCAGAGCGATGAGACTGCCAATGCGGCCAGTGAGGAAGCGCACACCCCGGTTGCCGAGGCAGGTCCCCTTACCAAGGAGACGAAAGAACAAGCTGAAGGCGGCACTGGCCTGTTGGCGGCGACTGGACTGTGGAGCATCAAATGGCCACGCATGCCCAACCTGCGCATTTCTATCGGCAACCTTCCCGGCATTGGAGGCGGCAGCTCTGGCAAAGACGGCGGCAGTCCTAGTCCAGGCGGCCATGGCCGTGCGAGCAGCGATATCAACCTCAAAGGGGACGCGGCCGACGGCGATGTCAAACACAAGGACCAGGAAAAGGAGATAAACGGACCATCGGACAAGAAGTCTCGCCCTTCGCTCTCGGATGCGCCAGGGGGCCGGCCAGGGATTCTCAAGGGCGGAAGGCTGCGGCGGAAATCGTCACCAGCCGTGACGCCTTCCTTAAACTCTGTTGAGTTCGCCGCTGCCGACGCGGTCGACGACGCAGCAGGCAATGGCGAGTCGGAACAGGCACGCAAGACGGGCGGGGCGGCAGCGGTATCCACGGGAGAAGGCGCCGCCGGCGGCGAGGGTCTGCCGCCGCAGCATCAGCGGCGGCACAGCCTCCTCCCCGCGATCCCCGGCGGGGCACGGCTGTCGATGGTCAGCCGGCTGAGCTCGGACATGGCGTCGGCGGGATCGGACGACGACACGGCATGCCGGCGCTGCGGCAACCGTGAGTTCAAGGCCAAGCGCGTGGGCGTGGCGCGCCAGCAGCGGTTCGTGTGCGCCAAGTGCGGCTCTCCGGCCTCGACTCCGGCCCCAGCGCAGGACAGCGCCGCATCCGCGTCCTCGGCCGCCAGGAGGCGGTAGGTCCAGCCGCCTAGCTGGTGGACGCGGATCCTGGGGGCGCTGCAGTGCGCTTGCCGGTGCTGCGAACGACGCCAGGAGAGAGAGGCGGCGTAAATGTACCATAAGGCGTGACGCTCTAGATCCAGCAACACTGAACTGAGTGATGCACATGGATCGTGTACATATACATACTGTCACATACCCTTTTTTATACATTTGTTTTGTTTGTTACTGGAGGAAGAGAGTGCTACTGTACATAAGGGCGCTTAAGCCTTGGGTGATGGGTCTGCTTTTCCCGCTGGCACCGTCACGGTCAGCGGGCATTCGTTTTCGATACACTTTGTAGTTATGGCATTACGCATTATAAGTTCCTTTTAGTAGCGATTACATTAACTCGGGTTTGGTCAGCTGGGTTGTTGAATATTTGTAAAGGGGCGTATAGGTTTTACGGTCCCCTACTTTCCTGGCCTCGGCCCCGAACGCTACAGAATCGGATGGCCATCCTCTACCACGTCTACATGGACACATGAGCACGGTATCTCTCGAGACGATGGGTACCTCCCTAGCCGGTTCGACAGAAGCGGGAGCACAACAACGCGCGAACAAGGGCACAGCCCCGGATGCTGCCGCTCTCGTCATGGCCACCGTGCCTCATTCCTCCCTGTCCGGCCCTGCCTTTATTGGCACCCATGCCCATCCTGCCCTGTGTCTGGCCCCGTCAGCGCGGGTTCTGCCAGTGAGAGTAAGACTCGGCTGCTGCCTTGACAGACGTACAGAGTCGGCCCGTATCAACCACACAGCAGAAGCCCTGGCTCCGGCAACTTTCTATATGTGATATCGCGGATGACGAGTCCTCAGAGCATCCACCCCCGAGTCTAGAACCACGAGTCCCCGCCCATAACCCGCCGGGCATTCCAAGAAAGGCAAGATGACCGAGCGGTCGAAGGCGCTAACTTCGGGAGGATCTCGAGATCTAGATGGCTTGCTAGTTACGCAAGTGGCGTGGGTTCGAATCCCACTCTTGTCAGGATTTTAAATGGTGGTGGTGGTGACTCGATCGGATGATCTAGCATGAAATCGGACATCGGTGGGTGTGGCTGCGATGACAATTTTTGTTGTCCGTTGGTTGGTCGGAGAAATCATCTTTTCTTTTTAGCCCCTGTAATACTTCGTGCTCACAGGGGCTAATTCACCCTGGGCTGACAGAGCCGCCTCGGCAGCTGTCAGGGGTAAGTTTATTGAGGCACCCCACCCACAAAATCGTCGAAACGCTTGACAGCACGCTTCCATTTGAAAGTGCATAGCCTAATGAATTTCGATCAACCGTAACCTCACGCAAAATAACATATTTTACACAAAAAAGGAACATTTTTAAAAATCCTGATTACAATTTTCCTATTTGCTTTTTCTTTTTTTTTCCTTTTTCTTTTTTTTTCCTTTCCATTTTCTCTTTTTTTTTTTTTTTTTTTTTTTGGCGTTGGCTGCAATTGCATTGAAGCGAATAGTTAAGTGTCTCAACGATTTTCTGGGCGGGGTGTGAGGCCACCAATTTCCTTATCGTCAATGTTGGTGCTGACCTTGAACTCGAGGCTCGCTGGATCGGATTCCCGGCCGCCACCATAACACTATTGGTCTTGGAAAATAGGCTATGCTGTCTTTGTGCGGGGCAGGCGGCATCTCGTCCGCCATCACGTGTATGTTTTGTAGTTAAAAAGGCGCGTAGGAACGCTACCTTGCAAGAAACAAAAAAGCCCTCGGGATCTGGAACCATAGGTAAGCAAGCCATTGAAATGAGACAAGGGGAAAGCAGCTGACAGAGCACTATTGAGCAATATTTGCTTTGGGGGTCCGGAAGAGGCAGTTGTGAAAATCTTGCGAGTGCGAGTTCAAAGTCCGATGATCTCCCTATTCACGCCAACAGCCCAACGGGTAACATCGGGCCTGGCCGTCGGACCAACGGGACGCCACAGGGCAGTCAAAAGGAGAACTTTAGCGCTGCTAAGCCAGCCTTCCCGGTATTTGAAGGATGTCCACTCCGTCAGCCTGGGTGGGCAGGGTGGTCAGAACCTCTGACCACCACGTAGGGGTGGTTTTCTGACCGGCCAATATTTTGCAAATGGGAGGATTGCTGTGGTGGAGAACTCTCAAGACATTGGCAGCCATGTGCTACAGAAGGCTGCGAATAGTTGCACTTGGGAGGCTTTATGCGAAGTCCACACCCCGGACATCATCAT